CCGGAGGCTCTCAGTTCATGCTGTTCCTCGGTGACTTTATTTATATTGATGTCCCAAAGAGGTTTGGAGTGAGTGTGGAGGACTATCGCCGCGAGTACAGACAAGTTTACAGCTCTCCAGATTGGCCGGCCGTTGGGCAAAATTTAAGTGAGTAATATAGAACGTCTTTCCGTACTCAGTCAGAGATAGGTTATTGTTACTTCTATGGAACATGTCTCCTTGCTGCATGTTTTGCTCTATATATCCAAAGACTTGACTTGCTAACTGAAAGTTATTTAAGGCTGGATACACGTGCTCGATGATCACGAGATTGCCAATGATTGGGATAAAAAGACTGCTGGGGTAAGTCAATTGAGAAGCTTTGGCTGTCAGGCTAGACTCTAGATGAAAGTACTAGTTGCGGCTCGGCATTCGGATTTCCATTGGCTTTTTACATATATCATATGCTTACCACTAGACTTGTCAGATTTACGAAGCCGCCGCTGATCCGTGGCATCATTATCAAACAGCCGTTAATCCTCCTCGAGCTCGTCAAGCGGGGACTTATAACACTCTCAGAGACGGTGCCACCTACTTCGAGTTCACCCAAGGGCCTGCTTCGTTTTTCTTGATGGATACCAGGACTTACCGAGACTCTTCTTCGGAGCTCCCCGCCAACAGCACTGGAAAGTCAATGCTTGGTGCAGAGCAGCTTGCTGATCTCCTCGACTTTCTCAAGAAGCCTGAGCCCAAAGGTGTCAAATGGAAAATCATAGCATCTAGCATTCCATTCACGAAGAACTGGGTAAGCATCTGTTCGACCATCCTTTAAGAGTTTTTCATTTGTGGGAAATTGCTGATTCCTCCATGCTATAGAGGGTGAATAGTATGGATACATGGGCTGGCTACCTCAACGAGCGCCAGGTGATTCTCGAAGCTATGTGGGATGTGGGCCTCCGTGGAGGCTGTGGGGTCGTCATCATCAGTGGAGATAGACATGAATTTGCCGCAACAGCATTTCCGCCTCCCTTGAATGGTCGTTGGCCAGTCAGTGCAACAGTGAATGAGTTCTCTACAAGTCCTCTCAGTCAATTCTATCTGCCGGTTCACACTTATTGGCAAACTGATGAGGAAGATATACAGATCAAGTAACGCATATCGCGATATCCCTGATACATATGTTTGCTAACTTTTCAAAGGTATATCCCAGGCGGCAATTCAAAGTTAGGAGCCATCACAATTGAAGATACTGCTAGCGACCAAAGTACATTAAAATTCCGTCTCTATGTAGATGGTCGTGAGGCCTGGTCTTCCCTCCTTCTCTCACCGCCTGCTAACCCCGGGAGTCGCTGGACTAAGGAAGCTTTTTGGAGGTAGATTAACAGTGACAACTAGATATGATGTAGCCAGCAATAGAGACTTGTGGAACAGAATCAAATATCATCGAAAACTCAAATGTCGGGTGATGATAATCACTAGGGGTGTTCTGGCTTCTTGTGTTTTAGGACTTCTTGTTTGATCAATACTGGCTGTCTGGTTTTGCTTTCTATGTCGCATGAACAATGAAGTTCTATTAGCCACAGATACTGGGGAATTAGTAGGATTCTCCAGATTCCGGATTGGTCAGCATTGATGGTGTACTGATTCATCCTTTGCCATATGTTGAAGTCTTCAACACAGGTAGCTAATTTTGAAATTATGGCTCTTCGAGTCCCGAAAGACTTGATATCCAATTTTTAATCAAGATTATGGACGCGTTGAAACAAATCAGATGGCCGTGCAGAGAAAAACGTGCACATAATCAATATGTATAAAATATCCTGTTTCAATAATAAGCCGATCATGTTACAACCAAGCCATATATACCTGTCGAGTTAGTACAACTAATGGGTGTTGAATAGTGAATCTCGACTATCCTTATGCTTGTAGCAAGAGTTGACCTTCTACCACATATACGGCCCATTTTTTGATTTGCGTAGCTAAAGTGATTCATTGGAGTATTCAGCAGTATAGAAAATGAGATGAGCTTTACTTGCCTCTATTTCAGTACACTTTGCTGGATACGCGTTTAAGCAATATTTAGCCCTAGGGTCATTCAGAGCTATATAGGCAACGATATGCATCAGAACTTCTCGAAATGGTAAAATCCTTTTCTTGTTCCTTGGTAGCATGCTGGCTAAGAATATTAATATTAATGTTGCTGAGAATATTCATTCACTTTCATCTCATACATTCCCATTCACTTCATTACCAACCCTGAACGCTAAAATGAATTACGGTGTCATCCATTGATTCAGCCCAACAATTTCTTTAAATATTCCACTGGTTTTCCCTCTCCATAGGATTCCAGTACAATCACAACTCACGAATCAGAAGAAATCTAGCAACTTTTCTCTTGGCAAGTACGATACTTTTCCTTGTTACCAGATTCTTGCTCCCTCAGACACTTTTCCTTTTCCTCTTTGACAGCTTAATAACTATTTTTCAACTTTCGAATAACTTTGTCATAACTCATCCATATTGATTGGAGCACCATCGCTCATCTACTGTATGTAGAAACATTGCACATAGCCCCCCCCCCCCCCCCCCAAAAAAAACTTTGGATTCACTTGAGCGTCCAAAATTCCTCATTAGACCTGTTATTTTTTCTAATAGAGCGATCTTTCCCCTCTTGCGTGTGGACTAAAAGTGCTGTCATTATACATGCGCCTTTTTATCGAGTATCTACTAATATAGGTTCTACCATAGATATCTCCAGAACGCACCACCAACTCGACCATACCTTCTTTCCTACCCATCATATTCAATACAGTCTTCCCGAATCGCTATCTACCATTAGTCGAGAGCAAGCGATAGCATCATGGGAAATAAGAATGCCCGAGCAAAGAGATCCTTTGACCTACCAAATTTGACTTTTGTCGCAGCGGACGGCAATACCGCAACAAATGCATCCGCCGCCACTAGTCCTAAGACTCCTTTGGGATTTAAATCATTCCGCCAGGGAACTTTGATCACCCCAAACTTCGAAGCTCTGGATAAAGTAGCAGCAAAATCACTATCTGCAACCTCTCCCGAGTTCGTCCCGGCACTTCCTCCCAAAATTGCACCGTTTCCAAAGGCTCCTGTGGATACCAAGTCTGAGGGTTCACCAGTGATTGAATTAAAGAACCAATCAGAGATGGCGGATCGTACACAAATTAATGGAAGTCCCTACCATATCCACACTATGGGTGAGGGCTTGACGACTATGTCTAAGCTGCCAATGGAATTAGACCATGGAGCGACTCCAGCCAATCGAAACGATTCAAATGCTTCACAAGGTCTTGAACTTGACCCGAAGGCAGGTATTCAACTGTTACAGGACGGAATGAATGCAATGTCTATTCACTCCGCCAACTCCACGCCAGACAAGACTGGATCGAGCAGCTTTGCCACTCCGACCAAGAAAAATGAGACTCCACTTTCAACACCGTCTCCCGTTGTGTTGCCCACTGGTCCCAGACCAGTAAAGCCTCGTTTTGGCCGTGCAGACAAGAAGAAGAAGGACATCATAATCACTCAACTTGGTGTCATTAGAAACTTTGCTCGGATCACCGAACGCTACACGGAGAACGGATACCCGTACAAACATGCATGCGCTGATGAATTCCAACCTGATGTTTATGAAGTAGCTGAAATCGTTAGTAAGATGCCGACAAAGGATCGTGGCGAATTTTGGGAGAAAAATTGGATTGAAATTGAAGTTGACTTCCGTTCAGAGGAAGAAATTACTGGGACCAATGCTCAAGTTGCTGGACAAGAAGAGTCTCCCAAGGACTACGACACATTGCTCAATTACATCGATTGCCTCGGTCCAGAATTTGCTGCTCATGCCAAATATATCTTCGTCAACATTCTATTTCCTTCCATTGCCGACACCTATCAATCCAAAGCTAATTCTTCCGTCCAAGCTTGCCAGCAAACCCGCGAATTCCAGCACATTGAGAGACTCGTAGCTAAATTACAACTTTTCCCAAATATCAAGCGCTTGGATATCATCTTGCAAACTCCTTCCAACACCAAGAAGCCGCTCTCCATACCCCAACTCAACTTGGTCCTCCCATTTTACGATCTTGGTTTCACTAGTTGGAATATCAAGTGGAAGACGAGTTTCATGACGAAGGCCGAGCCGGTGGGCGGATGGCCTGTTCATTATCTTGACAAGGAGAGAAATCGACTCCTGAGGGAGAGAGAACGAGTCAAGAATGCTGTTTTTGTTAGGAAGAGTCAATTTGTTACATGAAGCTTATTCATGGTTTTGACGAGAATTCGCAGGGTCGGAGTTCCTGCGGGTCATCTACATGCGAGCTTGTCATATGCAATTGCTTGCGGTATTTGGTCCATTCAGGCATATTATTTTTCAATACACATCATCGTGCATACCGATATAGCGTTGTTATCACTTTTACGTTGGTTTCAAGACAGTGAAAGGGATTTGCCTGGCGACAACGATAAAAGTTACTTTCATTCAAACCTACCGAATCAAATTCATACGCCCGACGCAGTGACTAGTTGTCAATCATCTAGATGAAGCGTGGATAGAGCTTGATAGGATTGCGTTCCTGATTGCAGATTTAGGGGCGGAAATGGAAATTGCGCTGGGAAGACAGAATCTATTCGAAATATCATCAAGTGGTACAATATCACAGGGACACATCCCTCATAATTACAAGCTTCTATGACAGTATTCCTTAAAATGAATTTCTATCATGGCATACGTGACACTATCCATTTCTTTGAATGTTGTGAAGTCCCTGTGCCTCCTATTTTCAGGAAGTGCGTACAATGATACATACAAAAAAGAAAACGTGTCCAATTCCAAAATAGGCAAGTACACAGTACCGTTGCCACAAATAACAATAAAAGGTATCTCTTGCTGAAAACATTGAAAATAAACTCCGTCAGTGGTATATACAACATCATGTTCTCGTTTGCAAATGAAGGGCGTATAGCAAAACATCTGTTATATCATCAATCATATATCATGGAATAGCGTTCAGCTCCTCGCGCTGTCGTAGGTATTTCTTTGCCAGTTCATCCCCACCAAGTGCACTTAGTTCCATCCAATGATAAGCGACACACATGGTGGCAGGATCACTCCTCTCTCTGTCTCTCTCAGTCACCACACCTTCCTTGCCTTGATGCATTTCCATAACTTGTGCTTTAAAGGTTTCACGAGGTTTGCTCAATGGTGCAGTGATTCTTTCTACCAATTCGGGGTGGGTCAAATAAAATATAGCAAGTTCTCGCTCTGCCACAGGGTCTCCTTCTTTAGCCGTGATCGTCCACATATTTGCAGCATCTTGCATACTATATTTCATCAATTCGCCGTTAATGGAAGACGAGTCTAGCACAGCGGCTGTTGTCTTGCGAGTTTGGGTGTAATGCACAACTATCTCATCTGCAATTTCAATTAGTGTACGGCACACGTCTTGTTTCAGACCGAGCGCGGCAAGACCAGCATCCCAGAAAGCTTTCCCACGTTCTGTCTTATCTAAAGTAGCAGCTGGGACAAATGAAGCAATGAACTGTAAGTCACGGAACAGTGTCTTTGGTCGCATATCTGGGTCGCGGAACAGGTCTTGCAAGACATCGACAATCATATCTGTACTCGCGGCAGTTGGCGCGTTTGAGCCCATGTATCGTTCAGTATTTCGATTGATCGGCGAAGGGTTATCTCCTTGATTGAGTGTATGAGATCGACGCTCTTTGCAATTGTCAATTGCTTCTCCTAGAGTTTTCGCTCTTGGGGTAGTTGTTGCTGCATCAGGTGGCCCAAAAGCATTGTGGTGCGAAACTTCTGGGGATTGTGGGGAAATAGGAATGGGCTCCTGGCGGATTCGAGGCCGTCTCGTGGTGGAAGGTGTTAAATATGCAATGATCAAATGCTCAAGCTCGTACAGCGCGTTGAGCTTCGCGTAGGGGTTAGGGTGAACTGAGAACATACGCAATAAACGATTGAAAGCCATTTTGTAGGGAAACTCCAGATTGTCTAACTCCTTCGTAGCTCTCATCGTACCCTTTCTAGGCCTTGTGCTGACAGAATCACTGGTGGAAGAGCTTCCTGTGGTAGAACGATTTTCCGAAGCACCATTATCCGGGAGACTTCTATTGCTAGATATAGAACCCTTTTCTGCTTTTTCGCCAAGTGATTCCTGCCGTTCCATTGGGAGTTGCTCTATCTTTTGAGCTCCACGAAGGTCCCCAAAGCTCTTCTTTTTCTCTATCACACGCTTTTTGGTTTTCCTTCTGGCTCTTCTGTCTGCCCGATCTCTTCTTTCAATACAATCTTGACCTATGGAACCTGAAAACCATGAATCTGTTTCACTTCCACGAGCAAAAACGAGAGTGCCAAGATCACTAAGTAACAAGCTTGTCAAAGTCTGCTTCAAGTCCGCCAAAAATCGATGTTTAGCTGCAGTCATGTGATCATCCTTCAGCATAATAGTTTCATTTGTCGACGAGGCAGTGTCTGGGCGACGACTACTGACGCTCGTAGTTGGTGAATGGGCTCGTGTTTGAAAGGGTGACCAGAATGTTGTTGCAGAGTCTATTGTCAGCACGGGACTTGCCATGCCAAAATAATCCTGGGAGTCCATCAGATCTCCAGGAGGATTTAATCGCGATCCGCTAAACCTTCCTGAGCTAAAGCTCTGCTGAGAGTTATTTCTGGTAGACATGGCCCGAAGGTCATGGAATCCAGGGCGGTTGAAATCTGTGCTACGTAGGCCACGACGTGTGCTGTCCGTGCTTGTCACGTCTTCTCCAGATAAGTTCAGAGATCCAAAATGACTCAGAGACAGGTCGCCCTTTTGCTTTCCGCTATCCAAAATCCTCTTGTCTCTGTTGTAAAGCTCACTCGACCAAAGAACAGGCCCCTCCATCAAATTATCCCCAACCAGTTTATTGATGCACGTTTCGATTTCTAAACTGAACCTATGAATTCGTTCTTCACCCTTGCAAAAGTTCTCGATTCCAAATTGAGACAGCCACCTCAAGGTCTTCTCCGCTTGCTCGTCGGATAGTTTATTTGGACCACCTTGATCTTCACTAGCAGCCATCATATCCATCACTTGAGCTTCAGTCTTCAAAAGGAAATTGTTGGCTGAAGGCTTCGAGATACTGCGAGAGCGCGCATTAGACTTGTCCATATGAGATACTTTCTTTGGCGAGACCATGCACTTCAAAGCTATGGCAATGTTTCGGGTGCCCTCGTACGCTGCTGAGTTTCGAACATCGGTGACATACCACATTTTATCGCGGAGGGCTTTCAAACGTTTCATCATGGATTCGATTGTTACGTCGTGGCGCTCCTGGGACTGCTTGAGCCAAACCAGCCAGGCTTCGTATTCTTCGATGGCGCTGGTGGAGCGCCGGATGGAATCCCTAGGCCCTCTTGATAAGATAGTTAAGAGGGATGCAAATCCATCCCTCTTCAATGAGGCAGATGACATTTGATTCAGCTGTCTCAAGGTTTTCCAGTAAAGATGAGCATTAATAAAATCAGACTGCGCCTTGCATTGAGTTTCAGCAGCCTCTAGCATAGAAATGAGAACGGAAGGGGCCTCTGCCTCTGCCTCGGCTCTCTGTTTTGTATGTCTGGTATCAGTCCCTCTGGAAGATTTGTCAGTTCTGGGGGACTGATCTCGGGCTCGATACGGATTCCTCGACTGTATTTGAGCCAGTGACTTGGACTTGTTGCTAAACTTCCTGCGAGGAGTCTCGAGAATTGACGTGCGATTGCTGAAGGTTTTTGATTCAAGTCTTGAATCAAGTGATTCGGGAATCTCATAATCTTCCACAAGTTTTAAAATCGAACTTCTGAGCTGGTGATAGTCTTTGTCAAGATCCGAACGGAACCCATTGCTATCCTCATCCGTATCGCTGCTTGAGGTGCCTTCCTCTTCATCTCCATCATCGTCGTGAATCATCTGGGTTGACAGTCCTTGTCCGTCTTGTGTCATGAATAAAACAGTCCATCGTTCTGCACAAGGATGGCATGCACCAGAGGTCGTATCGCTACCTAAAGCACGCGACATTTCATGTAGGGCTTCTCGAAGTTCAAAACCATCATCTTCATAATAACTAAGTCGTTGGTTTTGGCGATTGGATGCTATTGATATAGAGGATGTTCGTTGCTGTGTGCTTAATGTCTCATTGAGCAGAGGTTCTCTGGATGTGGTGACATCACTTATCGTGGAAGAGCCACTATTGCTCATGATAGAAGCGCCGTCTAAAGCTTCACGAGTAGGTGGCTGCGGTACCAACACTGATATAGCAGACATTCCAGAGACAGAAGAAGCCGCAGATCGCAAGCCACTGAGATGAGAATCTTTCGTGGAGAAACTCGATGCGGGCCGTCTTTCCGGGAATAGTGCATTTACCATAGTCAATAGGTCGGCGGGTGCTAGGACAAGATAAGGGTGTACCTCTGCTGTCTCCCTTAATGAGGTTATAGACCTTGCGGGAAGAAGCTTAGCAATAGACTTTGATGGTTTTGTAGAACGGAAGCGTGCTAGGATATTCTCTATGTGAGTTTTGATTGCTGGTGCTGGAGAGGATTTATTCCTATAAAAGGCGTTAATAAGATGGAACTAGATGGATACGAGAATGGCAATACCAGGTCATATCAACAACTAGGCGCTGTGCACGCATCGCAACCTCTTTCAATATTTTCTGCCTACCATACTCTGTAATGTGATATTCTGACATCATTCCATATGACTATGCATGTCAGTGAATTGACCACTTGAAGGGTGCCTTGAACATACTTCTGGATGAATTATTGCGTTCAATAAGAAAACAGAAAACAGCCATTTTGAAACCAAGAATCTCCTGGTAGGTCCATGTCTTTTGGGATCGAGTTTTCGAAGAATGGCATTACCAAGTTCGATTAAGCCTTCCGGAATACCTCCTGCACTTGGGTCATCAATGATGTCGAAAAGTCCATGAATCGCCGCATCATAAAACTCATCCGCAGCTATGGAATCCTTGGCATTCCGTGGTTCAACATGTATACGCGTACCAGCCTGGTCCTCGGCTTTCTCCAATAAAAAGGCTCCATCCTCAAGAATTTTCATCAGGTACCATTCCATGTTAGTTCGTCCCGACCAATCTCTCATTGTAGTCCAGACATTCAAAACACTACAAATAAAAGGATCTGTCCCGCTTTTGCTCTCGGTGATTAATCGGGCGCATGCTGTGGCCCAGACATCAGTTCTTCTAAGGTCCTCTAAGGAATCGGGGCCAGCCGAATTTGCAAAACAAGTGTGAATCAAAGCAGACAAAGGATCATGACGCTGAAAAGAAAGTAATCGCTCAACTGCAGACGGTATGTGCGAAAAATTGCGGTGGGCGCTAGCCGCATGGCCCTTGGAACGAGTATGAAAGGGCAGAACAGAATCGATAGCTTCTAAACCTTGATGGAAGCTTGTCAAAGCTGATAACTCGGTCGGCGTAAGGCTGGCTATGCGACTGGCCAAATAATCTGAGTTTGTCCTGATTTGGGTCAAGAAATTAAGCAAACATTCACGAGATCGCAAGGGAATCTCATGCATAAAATTCAACACAGGTGTTGTATCCTCGGCACCGGATATACTTGATCGTCCATTGTCAAAATCAGGTTCCAACAAAGCGAAACGCCGGGAGGCATCGCATGAATTCCTGACATCGTGAATGGCATTGTAAAGGTTGGCAAAGTTTTTCTTCTCGTCGGCCCTGAAGTTGTCAACCAAGGTCCTGTGTGCCAATTCTCCGCATCGTGCGAGGCGGGCAGAGAGTGCTGTTGACACCAGGGATCTCTGTAAACGAATGCGTGAATGGGCACGCTTCTTTTCCTGGTACGAAGACAACCTAACCAAATGGGCAAGCTCCTCAAGACTTGTGTTCGTGGTCATTGAAGTTATGGCACTTATCTGTGGGTTTATATATTGAGATATGTCTTGCAATAGAGGCTGGGGCATTTTCATTGAAGTTATAGGTTCCTGGTTGTGCGGCTTTGGGGTAGACGATCTATCAACGGCGCCTGGAGCATCCTGGGCAGGTGTGGGCGAGGACGAACGTGAGGAATCTTGTCCAGAACTCCATCTATTGTCCGCATCATTTGGCAAGTCCTTGTAAGAAGTGATGGGTCTCTGTGGACTTCTCGACTGGTATCGGTGCAGTCGTGGTAAATTGTTCTTCTCCGGCGGAGAAGGTGTCGGACTCCTGGACGATACATGAGTGATTGTCGGGGACATAGCTGGCGATTCGGCGCATTAGCAATCTACTATTCAACGAGAAAGGGGCAGTGTAAAAAAACAATAAAACATCGTATATCGCAGATGCGAGACGTACGAGGTGAGGCATGCCCTGGCCCGGGGAGCGACGAGGATCGTTGCATTTGTATCATACTGTAATCTCACTACACTAACATACTACCTCGGGTTCCACCTCACTGGCGAAATGCCATGGAGAGTAAAGCGAAAGAAATAAAAAGGAGCCGTGAATGGAGTGCGCAAGAAAGGGAGTGATGGCGACGATAGAAAGAATGTGTACGGCCAGGGGAAAGGCTGATGAAGGCTGGAGCCAGTCGTGGCAGACAGGACAGGGTGCGCGGGGCCACACTTTGCGATAGTGATAAGGATCGGACTGGCTCAAATTAAGACGAGAGACCTGGAAGAAGATGGATTTCTCGTGACGACAAATTAATTAAAATGAATGGTAGAACAGCAATGGCAATGAAGTGAATAATGATATGTGTTATTGAGGGTAATACTCGACGACGTGAAGTTACGAGTCTTTTCTTAACCGCAAGATATTGACAGCTTCTCAGCTGAGAAGATTTTTGATAGTCCACTGGAGTGTGATAACGTATGTGATAGTGTGATGGCGAATAGAGTATGGAAATGATACAGGTATATTAGGTGTAGTGAGTAAGGCGAGCAAGGATAAGATATACTCCGTAGATGAGATAGATGGGATGGATGGGGTGGATGGGATGGATAAGATGGTACAGTGCAGCGCAGTGCAGTTGCATACAGTTCAGTGCAGAATATGTATTTGGTTGGACTGAGTTTGATGTGAATTGGCGACAGAGGACCTGGTAAGAGGGCGGGGGGCAAGAGGAGAATTGATAGGATGAGGGAAGGAGAGGGAAGGAAAGGAGCGGATCGTTAGATGAGAGTAGAGAAGGATGAAAGGGGGAAGGGGAAGGAGAAGGAGAAGGAGAAGGAGAAGGAGAAGGGGAAAAGAAAGAGAAAGTTGTTTACAATATCATTTTGGGTGTATGTATGTATGGCTGCTTCTTGTGGTTCCATGAAATGGAAATTGACAACAAATCGATATTATCGTATTGAAGGAAGCCAATCATAATCAGTCTTGATGTCCTCCACATTAGCCAACGCAGACATTCTAATAAATTTCGCGACATTCTAGAACAGCTCTTACTTCGGATCGTTTGGAAACCTTATAAGGCAACATTTCTATTAACGAGGAATAGATGTATTAAAGCTTTCGTCTCTCATCGACGATGTAGTAGGCTCGATTTAGTAACGAAACTGTCTTTATTCTATAGTAAATCGTCACTATATATTATAAACTATATTCGAAATTGAGTAAATATGTAAAATCGAATAAGATCGAATAATACTTTATATTATATAATTATATATCTAATTATTTCTATAGATTATATAATTAATATCTAGTATTTAATTTTTTTTATAAATCGAAATATTCGCTAAGATAATTATGCTACTCAAAATTGATAAGAAAAATAAATCTCCTATTCACTTTTAGTAATCAATTATACTTATCTTTTTTTTTTCTCAAAAGAATTAAAGAGAACTTTGATCTATTATTTAATACAGATTATATTAATTAATAGTATTCTCGATTTATAATATAAAAAAGCTATTTTCAAAAAATTATTATAGATCTATTAGCTTACTGTATTTATAATATAAAGACTATTTTTATTTAAAAATTAGAAATTATTATAATTATTATATTTTTCAATTAAATTTTGATATGTTTTTAGAATAAAGATTATTAGACAGAATGATTAACTAAAATCAATCTGTAATCTTTTTAAAATTATTTAAATTATTTCTTATCAATTAATCTGTTCGAATCTGATTGAAAAATCGAATTATATTTTATTATCTTCATAATTCAAGTGGGAATATAAAACAATACTTTTACTATATTTCTAAGAGATATAGTATCTGAATTATATTTTTGATTTAGTATTATATACTACTCTAATATAGTAAAAGCATTATTTGTATATTATTAAATTATTACTTATTAATTTATATGATTATAGTTTATAGGTTTTGAACCTAGTTATTATAGGGCTTATAATTTAAATTTAGAATAATAGATTTAATAAGTTTCAAGTACTAATTGATTAATAATTTAAAGTGAATCTAAACAAAAACAGATTATTATTTTAAAGAAAGAAAAAAATATTCAAAAATGTAATATCGCTTGATTACTAATCAACTTTTATGTAATATTATTCTTTATTATATTAAAGTTTTATTTTAAATAATATATTTTATAAATTCAAATTATTATATAAATATAATCTTATAAATATATAATTTAAAAAATTTAAATAATTTAAATTTTATATATTGATGTCTGAAATTATATTATAAATCGTTTTTAAGAATATAAAACTATTATTATTATTTATATACTTCTCTTCTTATTTATAAAATTGAAATATAATCTGATAATAAAATGAAATCATTTTATATTTAACATGTAAATTATAATCGTAGTAAGTCGGGCACCCTACTTTCGGGCCACCCCTGTTTTGGGCCACTCTTTTATATCAAAAATCACTTTTTAGGTCTATTAATATCTTTATTAATATATAATATAATTTGATGAAAACTTATACATAGATAATTTAGATCGATTTAAGCTTATTCTGAAATTTTCGGATTTTTAGGATTTTTCTGTATTGAAAGTTAAAGGTTCAAAATATCGATTTTTAAATTTGTATGGGAATTATATACAAATTTAGGATTTTTATAAAACCTTTAATAATTTTTTAATAATAATTATTAAAGAAAAACTGTATATCTTTTTGAAAGATTTGAACTTGAATCTATATAGAAATTTCTAAAAAATTTCTAAAAAATTAATAGATATAGAGATATAATATATGGTGAGTTTGGAGTAGTATAAATAATCCTTGTCATTTTGAGGGTACTCTTTTAAATATTTATTTATAAGAAATTTTCTATTTTTTCTGAATTTATTAGATTAAATATATTATAAATTTATAATGAAATTTTATAGTTTATTTTTAGTAATTTTAATTAAAAAATCATTGAAGATTTTATAAAAGTTTCAAATTTGTATGAGATTTTTATATTAATTTGAAAATTGATATTTTAAAGCTTTAAATCTCAATACAGAAAAATCCTAAAAATCTGAAAATTTCAGAATAAGCTTAAATCGATTTAAATTATATATATAAATTTTTATTAAATTCTATTTATAAATAAGAAAGTTAAAAATTCCATTTTTGATATATTTTTGGTATAAAAAGTAGCCCAAAAGGGGGGTGGCTAGAAAGTAGGATACCCGACTTATCTTCTTCTAAATAAATCAATATATTAATTCACTAGAATAAATATTTGCTCTAATATTTAGGAATGCATTCTTTATATTAAAGATTAAAAATTCATAGGAGCAAACGTAGTAGAGATATATTATATAATCCTATATCTATATAAGTATATTGAATTTATCAATTGATATATTCAAGCTCTCTTCTAATAGATTGTAAATAGTAAACAAACCTTTTAATTAATTGAAGCTCATTTTTCTAATCAAATAAAGAGAAGAAAAGTCTATAAAAACTCATAAAAGCTTTTTGATTTAATATATAATCTCAAATAAAAAGGAAATTTAATTAAAAAGAAAGTAATTAAATTAGAGTAATTAAGGGCTTTCGAATACTCTAACAAATTTTAAAATAAACCCTATAATTATAATCTAATTAATTGATTAAATTGAAAGAATTAATAAAAATATATTTGAAAACATGTTTATCAATAGAGGTATAAATGTCTAAGGTATAATTGTCTTAAACGTTTTTTGACATTAGAATTTGAATTGAAATCTGAATTAAAATCTGAATTAAAATCTGAATTAAAATCTGAATTAAAATGAAAATTAAAATAAAAATTAATGTAAAGGAATGTATAATAAAAACGTAAATAAGAATATAAATTACATCTAAAATGATTTTGTTATTTTATTATTCTATTATTATATTGTTTTATTATTTTATTGTTTTATTATTCTATTGTTTTATTATTCTATCGTTTTATTATTCTATTGTTTTATTATTCTATTATTTTATTATTCTATTATTTTATTATTCTATTATTTTATTATTCTATTATTTTATTATTCTATTGTTTTGTTATTCTATTATTTTATTATTTTTATACCGTATAGGGCATATACTAGTAGCATACCTTACGTAATCTATATCGTCGATATTCTTAAGTAGTATAGTCTTAGCTTTAATATAAGATTAGCTTTATAATCTATAGTACTAGGCTACTTATATTTAACAATCAGAATTTATTCAAAATTTATTATTACTTATTTATAATATATATTTGATTATTAAATTAATCTTTTGAATACTTTTATTTTAAATGTGAATAGAATTGAAATATTGATATGTATTTTAATATAAATAAAATCCATTTATACATTTCAAATTAATTTTTTAATATTTAATATATTGATTCTTAATTATAATAAAAATTTCATTTTTATTTTTTATTTTTTATTTTTTATTTTAAATATATAAATAATTGATTATTTAATATATTTTAAGTTATTTATAGAATACTTCTTAATTTTTATTTAATATAATTCGATTGACTTTTATTTATTATAATATTAAAAGATATTTCAGAAATGTATATTTTTAGATATTGTTATATATATTTTATAGAATTGAGATCAGAATTATAAAGAGATTAGAGATTAATTAATTAAAAGAATATTTTTTAATTGAAATTACTTTAACATCTTTTTAATTTGATATATAAAAGTCTTGTTCTATATAAATTAATATTCTTTATTTAATTCTTTTTATATAAAATCTATTTTATTATCGAAGATTTTAAAATAAAAATTGATATTGTGTTTAAACTTTTTACTCTTAAAATCATTGTTTATAATATATAATTTATTCTTTTCAATATTATTAAAATCGTTTTATATCATAATCTTTACATTTTTTTATATAAAATATATTTGAATTATTTCTTCTTTCTATTTTCAATTTAAAAACCGAAATATTTGTTTCTGCTTTCTTGATTTTTTTAATTTTGTAAAGTAGTATTTATTCAATCAGAAAATTAA